AATAGATTTGGCCGCCGTCGATCTAGGGTTTCGGAGCTCTGATGCCCTCGACCAGTGTTGAAGCCCTGGCGTACCCGTTATACATAACCGCACTGCAAAATCTTCACAAAGAATTCGAAGTGTACTACGGGTTTCACATTACATACCACTCGCCTCAACTGCCCCTATCTACAACCCGGTTTCAACATGTGGCCGCAGCGATGCCAGTTGTGCACAACCACACCTCATCCAACCTCACGCCGCCGGTAATTAGCCTCTCCATTCGTAGTCCTCCATGTGGGAGACTGACGTGGCCTTGTGTCCGACTCGTGTACACCGTGTGGATAGCGTCTGTGAGGTGCGCAAGACGGACAGTCCTTGCACTCGCACACGGGCAGTCCTTCCCCATATGACGCGACCGTCATTTAACCGCACACGGACGATCGTCACCACGCAATTGTCCAAGCCATGGCGGGTCTTGTGCAGCTCCTGGAGTCGCTACGGGCTCACCCTGAGGACGTATTCTGCTTCGTAGAGACGCCGCTCCTCGCGACCACCTTGCCATTCACGTATAATGTGGAGCCTGGCACTCGTTACCGCCCGCAGTGCGAACTTCGTGTTTGCCTGTTGTTTAACGCTACAGGGTCATCCTCGCAGCCGCCAATGGTCGTGACGCGTCGTTCTCGTGGCCGCCCGTACCGCCCGCTCTTCCCGGACGGCAAGCCCGCGCATCTGCGTCAGACTAGATCTGGGGAACTCACGGCCGAGGTGCGTGCGCGCGCTGCAACTATACTGTGATCCTTCTGTGCAACTAATCACACGCGGTCCTCGTCGTGTATGTGTTTCCCTCTGTCCCGCAGTGCTTCACAGAGTACATTGACACCTTCGACTTGGATCACTTCAGCCACAAAAAGTCTGCCATTGTACTCGTCGCGAGCGCAGCTCACGTGTCCCTGGACCCTGTCAGAATAATGTGCTCTAGCTTGTAGTGGGGTGCTCTATAGCGAGTACAACCCTTCAAGGGTTTGCTATTTGTATCCTCATTCTTGCTAGTTCAACCCTCTTCTTTCTTTTAAACTTTCACATGCTATCAGAGCAGGTCGATCCCCTTGGATCGATCCTGTAGGTGGGCTCACCACCTCGTTGCTTCCGCTGCAACTCCTACTGCTACTCTCAGTGCCGCACGCCCCGTGGTGCGGCAGTTTTTCTTCCCGCCGTGCGCCCCGAGGCGCGCGGCGGTTTTTTGCCCGCCGTGCGCCCCGAGGCGCGCGGCGGTTTTCTGCCCGCGGTGCGCCCCGAGGCGCGCGGCGGTTCTCTGCCCGCGGTGCGCCCCGAGGCGCGCGACGGGCTTCTGCCCCGTCACTCGCCGCGTCGCCCTCGGGAGGCAATGCGACGGGCGACGGGGACCCGCGCGTCGCCGCCGTCGCCCTTCGCGGCCCGTCGCCGCCCTTCCAGGCCCCTCGCGGCCCCTTTGTCGGCCCCGCGCGCCGCCCCTGCGGCCCCCTCGCGCCCTTCGACGGCCCCGTGCGCCGCCCTCGCGGCGTACCGGGGGAGCTACACCCCCCCCCCCCCCCCCCCCCCCCCCCCCCCTTTCCCCGTCACCGAGGGGTGTTCTGGGGGAGGGGGCGAGCGCCGCCCCTTTCTGCCGCATGTTTTGGCGCTCTAGGAGACCGCGCGTCGCCCCCCCCCCGTAACCTCCCTACCCGCCATCCCGCCCTGCCCTGTGTTAGGATTTGGGGGTGGCGAGTAGGGGGTGGCGGGTGTGTGGTCTCCCCTGCTCCTCCTCCTCCTCTGTCTCCCACTGCTGCAGCTGCCGCTGAGGGGGGTGGGTGTGTGGGAGTCGACGGAGTCGTGCTAGGGGGTGAAGGGGGAGTGGAGCTAGGGATGTAGCAGCGGGTGTGTGTCAGGGGGGTGGGACTGTTTGCGGGAGGTTGAGCGGAGGCTGCCGTCTTGTCGTCCGCAGCACCTGTAGTCCGGGGCGCTGTCCCGGTAGCCCAGTGAGCTTGTCGCTGCGCCAGTCGCCTGTGGGTCCGTAGCTCCTGCCGCTTGTCTTAGCCGCGGAGCCAGTTACTCCTGTAGTCCGGCCGCTTGGTCCGGTAGCCACTGTGCTCGCCACTCCTGTTGCCCGTGTGTCTGCAGCTTCAGCCGCCGCCTTCTATCTCCTCTCCTCTCACTCTCCCTCCTCCTCCTCACTTGCTCGTTGTGACTACCACTAGCTTTGCTGATAATTGTAAACTTTAAACTATTGCTTCTTGAACTTGTGCTCAGAATGTGTGGTGACATTGTGATCCACCCTGAGCTTGTACTGCTTTGCTTGCTCTGCTGATTACACCCCACTTTGGCTATGGGGGTGTGTCAGAATATTGTGCTCTAGCCTGTAGTGGGGTGCTCTATAGCGAGTACAACCCTTCTAGGGTTTGCTATTTGTATCCTCATTCTTGCTAGTTCAACCCTCTTCTTTCTTTTAAACTTTCACAGACCCCGCATGTGACGAGAGCACACTCTGCGGATTTCGTGTGCAGGAGCTCACGTCAACGAAGATAGTTCATCTCGATGGTGTCGTGTCGACGTACAACCTTCCGTGGTTCAACGGGGTGGTCGAGATGTTCAAGACCATTTTACGGTCCTGCTACATCGACTTCATCATAAGGGACGCGGCGTGGCTGTCTAAGGGCGCAATGCCCATAATTGTCTTTGAGAACGTACTGCTACGGGTGGGGTCTGCTAGAGACTGCACCCCTTGCAGGGCTGTCCACCTCTCGTGGGCAAGGTCTGGGATGTTGCCCATGGCGTGGAGGTCGCTTCTCCATCTGACGGATTATCCTGCAACTTGTGTCACGGTGGAGCCACTAATTTCCCAACTCGTCCGTCTGCAGCTACTGATAAACCAGTTCAAAAAGGGCGATACTCCCATGATGCAAGCCACCGAATACGCGTCGTGCGACACCCGCATTCTCGCCATCATCGGCCGGGACGCTCCCGTCGCAGACGTCGTAGCGGTGGAGATTACCGCTCCGTTGATTATGCCAGCTGGGCCGAGTCTGCACGACCCTCGTAGTCGCCGCCGAATAGTGCGCGCCGTGACTAAGACGTATATACGTACCGCGGCGCAACTTGGCATTCTTCCGAGGGATTTTCTCGAGCGCACTGGTCTATGCAACGACGACGTCATCAACGGGCTCCGTCGCACTCCAACTAAGCGGGCTCGACTGAGCGGTGCGCGCCTGGCAGTTCCTGGGTATAGCGACAGCGATGGCTTAGACGGAGCTATGCTGCGGTGCAACAGTTCTCCTCTCGCTTCATCCGTCAGTGGCAACAGCTTTTAGGGGTGGCTGCGCCTAGATGGTTTTGTAATTGGCTTGTCAATACCCAGCGATCTAAAAGACCGGACAGTACGGAGTTATCGCATTTAAATAAACCGTGAACGCAACATTGTAATGCGCTACCCTATACGCATGTGCAAACATGCTCCTTACACCCGCATTAACATGTTGCATCACCCTGTATTGCTTGCACGCAACTATGACGACAATCAACAACCCGGACACATCAACTTCGTACCAGTTATTTCACCATTCTGCGCAAATGTCAATTACACGCGGTACTATCCGTCCCGTTATGTGGGTACATAAGGGTCTCGCAACCCTTTGATTTTTGTTTATGCAAACCATGTAGCCAATATCAAGCGTGGACGAGGGTGTGCATTGATTTGTACTCCTTAAAAGTCTCCATCATTCTATCCGTTGCTACCCATGCATGTGTCCGATCGAGAGTCTTCGCTTTTGGCGCGCTCTCATATATTACGGACGCGTGGCAAACTCGCCTGTCGTCTCAACCAGACCTAATCCGCACTTACGCCCTCATCAGATCCACTTCCTCCCGCACATCTCGATCTCGAGCGGATCCTTCTGTCCATCGCAGCGGTGGGCCAGGCAGTAGAAGGTGAGAACTAACGACCATGTGGAGCATTAGCTACTCCCGTCCGTAGTTGCACCAGATAACTGTCCCGCACACATAGGCGCCAACCGCACGATGTCGAAGCGAACAAAGCACGAGAAATCCGTCCACGACAGCGGGTCTCCAAAGCTTGCTCAGGGCGTGGAAGAGTTGATTGAGCGGATGCGTACCAAGAGGCCTGGCACGGACTCACCACCTCCGGCAGACAGCGACACTAAGCGTGATATTTTGAAGTCTGAGAGTTCGGAGTGCGCACGCGTCAAATCCCTACAACTCGTCCCATCTCCCGATACAGACGAGCCGAACGACTTGGTTAGCAGTCTGCAGGTTCCCGAAAACCAAAAGGCCTTCAAGACGTTGGCCCTATATGGACCTCACGGTCAGGGGTGCCACGTGACCGCGCAGGATGCGCTTACTACGGCAGACGGCCAGAATCTTGCGGACAGCGTCGTTGATTTCCACAACATGTGAGTGTCGTTTTTGTTGGATCAGGAGAGCATATATGCGCTTGTGGCTGTGTATCTTCCTCCATCAGTGCACCGTATCCTTGTACGTGTGTAGACTTCTGAACATCCGACGCCCGCATTTGCCGGATGGCAAGACATGGTTTCCGTTGGACACCAAAGCCTACGTCTACGCGACGCAGTTGAACAGGGCGTTGCCGATGGGAAGATCCCCGTGTGTTTTCGATCTCGACTACCTTGCCATACCGGCTATTGCAAGGTGGGAGGTGAAGATATCACGTGTCCAGTCCAGCATGTGCACCTAGGTCTCAACGCCATGATGATGGTTTAACGAGGTGTGGAAACCTGTGTGTGTACGTACAGGAGGCACTTCTCTCTGGTAATTGCGGTGAACCTGCGGGCTATGACAAGGAGGATGTCATCTGAGGGGGACGGCGATCCTCTATACCTCATCCACTATGACAGTGAGGGGCTGCACACGAGGACGCCAGAGGTCATAGAGGGTGTGAAGAAGTGAGTCCCAGTCACAGCAGGACAATGGACGTTGTGAAACCATTGAGGTGGAGACTCATCGGATCCGTGTTTCTATGGTGGCGCAGGATGTTGTTTCTACTTCACAAGGCTCGTCGCCCGCTCGGCGACCATCCGTACGCTATGAAGGCCTTGAAGGACGCCAAGCGCATACTCATTCAGGTATGGTCCGCCCGGCGTTCTTACCGTTTCACTGATGTGCGGGGCTCGACGACTGATGCATTGGTGCAATCTTCTGTGTGTTTTCCAGAAGGAGGTTATCCCTCAACAGGGTAACGACACCGACTGTGGAGTGTTCGTGTGTATGTACCTGAACGGACTGGTCAACACGGGATTCAAGACGGTGTTTACCTGGGTGTCATGCAACGGCGTCACATCACGCACCTACAGGAGAGGCATGCGTAGGGATGTGGCCAGTCATGCAGTGGGGGAGCTGTTTGTGCAGCTGTACATGGAGGAAGTCGAGGTGCTGCCCCAGCCGCATGCGCGTGTAGACGACGACGGTTGCATGCTGTTTCCAACGGAGGACGAGGTCAGAACGGACCTGGCGCAGCTGTCCCCCGATAGGAACAGCATGGAGGTGGATGGTGTCCTCTTGGCAGCCGCCGTGATGAGTATCGCCTCAGCGCTTGGGTTCACCCAGGATCAGCTGGAAGCGGCGTGTGCCCATGAGTTGGGTACGCATGGGACGGGACTCCTCAGGCGGTCAAGCATGGGCGACAGGATGCGGGAGCGTGAGGCGGCGTCGAGTTTGCTGACCAGACTCCTACACAACTCCCCCGCACCACTACCTCAACCCCGGTTTATTAGTGTTAACTTCCCGTACACTGATGGCGCTGGCGACGAGCAACAAAGGGGACACGTCTCTAAGACTGCCAATCCAAAGACACCAGACAGGACGCCCGTGAAGGGTCATGGTGCCGGCGTCCGCATGCCAAGGACCAGGGCCACCAAGGTGAAGGCAAGCGGTACAGGGGGTCTGGTGAAACGTGGGGGAACGAGCGAGTACACCGGGGTGTGGTACGACCTCCGAGTGCGGAAGTGGTGCGTCAAAATCATTGCAGACCCGGAAAGTGGGAAGCAGGTTCGCCTTGGGGGTACTTGAAGGAGGAGGACGCGGCGTATGCGTACGCCGCTGGCGCGTTTGTGATCAGACGGAAGGACCACTTCCCCAAGATGATGTCATTGTCAGATGCGGAGATGGCTGCACTGGAGGGGGCTATCGTGGATGACGTTAGGCATCTTGTACAGAAGCGCCAATGGTACAGGTGGAGGGAGTGGCGTAAAGCCATGGACTACATTGGTGTACTGCCAGGAACACCCTTCAAGCCGGAGCCAGGTGCGGAGTCGCCTCCAACGAAAGCAGAGGCAGCTGATAGCGATACTCGAGATGCTGAAGAAGATGAGGATCTGGTGAGCGAGGATGACAATGGGGGAGAAGACAGTGAGGGGGGGATTGCGTGCACGCAGGCCCAGGGGTAGTGAGTGGGCAGTGGAGGGATCATGGGACGGGTGGCTTGGAGGTGGTGTGAGAGCTGACTGGTTAAAGTAGTAGAGGCATCTGTGGTAGACGTTGCGTGCGATGGAAACTGTTGTTGTTTTGGAGTGACAATCTAGGGACAAATGTTTGTACTTTGCATGTTGATGTATGTTAAGGAGGATATATGAAAACACTTGTTTACAAATAATGTATCTCACCGTAACTGTTACAACTGATTTGTTAGAGTACAAAAGACTTGGTGTGGGGGGGGGGGGGTCAATACACGGTGGCATGAGCACGCTGGTACGTGAGTGGGCATAATAAAGGTAAGGTTGCCAGAGCTCGGAATGGTGGCAAACGATGATAGGGCAGTAGATTCGGAGGTGAGTAGGTGGATTGCACGTCAAATGAGGCCAACCTCGGACGACGGGCAGATTGTGCACAAAAAGTGAGGTTGTGCACCATTGTGCACATCGTCTGTCTGGTTGCCGCAGGCAACATGGACAGTGGCAATGAGAGCGGTAGAGTGTCCAGGGACGGAAAACGTCAGCGTGTGTCCAAGACCCCGTCTCACCTGAAGCACTACGTGCTTCCTGGAACTTCCAAGCGTCCACCGGTGCCGATGACGTGTGGTCTGCTCACCTCGCGCAATGCGGTGACGTACTGACGCCCCCCCCCAGCTAGAGAGGCCACCTCCCGTGTGATCTCTCGCTGCACCTCTTCTTCAACGATGCGCCGTGGAATGTCCTTCCAGTTGCTGCCCCGGACCGGGACCTTCACCGTTCCCTTGTGCGTGTGCTCCCACAGCTCGGTGGAGTACTCCCACGGCATCCCTCGGAGGGGAATGGCATCAATGAGGTGCACAATCTGGTGCACCTTCGAAAAGTTCCACGAGGACTTCTGATCCGGAAAGGCATCCCCGATCGCGCCCATCATCCTGCACTCAGAACTAGCCGCACGCACCCACCCATCCCCATGAGACAGTGCAGATGCCATGCCGCATGCGGAATGTGCTTCATGCTCCCTACACCACCTCCATACCTCGCTGTCACCACCCAAAACCGTGAACAACCCCCCTAACCCCCCTCCTCCCCCCCTCCCCGACCACCCATGCCAACCTCCCCCCGACAGCCCCACTCCCCAGGCCCCCCATTCCCCCCTTCCCGTACCCCCCCCCCACCCCCCCCCCCCCCCCCCCCAAAACTCACGCGTAGGCCGCAGTGCGGACATCACGCAACGTCTTCTCCGTGTGCTTTGGGACGCCTACCAGTGCCTTATAGAACATTGCATACTTCCGGAACGCCCGTACCTCCTTCGTCCGCTGCTCCACCTCCGCCGGCTTGCAGCCGTCCATATTGTCAGCGATGAGAATGGGCATCACTTGCGTCATCCCTCGGTTCTCGAACGCCGCATAGTTCGCCCGTGTCCTGAACCAGGATGCACCCCCGGGGATGCGGACAACCGTAGTCCTTGTGTCCTTCTTCTGCTCCTTCTTGCGCCTGTACAGGAACCAGCACCGGCACGCAGTCATTATCACGGCCCCGAGTCCTTGCAACCGTGCAATGCCTGTACGCATCCACTACATCTCAAACTCCCGCCTCTCCGGCTTGCTCTTCCCCTTGATGAAATTGTCAGTGAGGCGCCCCAACATCCCGCCGTCCAGCACGTGCAATAAATCCGCCACGCACGCCAAAAACACATTCCCCCACGTCGTCTCCGCGAAATTCCACCTCTCCAGGAAACACTGCCACCACAGGAGGGATGGGGACACACTCGTCTGGAAACAATCCCTGTCATGCCGTACACCATCCACCTCACGGTTCGTTCCAAATGTTCCCTTCTACACGTACACCATACCACTGTGCTTCAACGAGACACCTTCCCATCGTACATGGACAGGGTGTGCCGACCACCGGCGCATAATTTTGCCCGCCTCGTCGCTGGAGGGCGCATTCAAAATAGCCTCCACCGTGCGCCGGTGAAGCTCGAGAGTGCGCACCGTCGTCTCCGTCTTCAGCTCGGACAGATGCACCCTCTTGATGTAGCACGAGCTGCACGGCCTATGTGACCTCTGCTGCATTGTCGCAGTGGACCGCGACGACTCCGGGTAGTCCCCAACCTCCGCGAACAAGCAAGGGTACGCCTTCACCACCTTTCCCGAGGCATCCGTCACGTAGATGAACTTGAGTTCCGCCCTGCAAACAACATGGCCAGCGACACACTGTCAGTCACAACCAGTGGAACTCCATCCATGCACCTACGCAATCACGCCACTCACCCTCTGTGCTCTCTCAGAAGTGGCTCAAATATCACTGCCACCTGGAACACGCGCGTCTTCTCCGTAGAGGTCGCCCACTCTGGGGGAAACGGGAGCACCCCTGCGAGCACGTGTCCTGGTTCAAGCCACCTCAGCCACTCCGGAATGTTGAAGAGGCTTATCAGGACCGGCCACGCTTGGAGCCTGCCGTTCGAAGAAGCATGCGTGCTGTCGCTGTACACGAGAACGCCCAAAATAATCCCCATCTTGCCCGGACGCGCCGCCTGCACACGGAACGCATGCATCCGCCGTCATCCCCCGTGTGGATTCCTCTATCCGACATACCTCGCGCAACCGTGTCACAGCCTACCTGGGCAACTGAGAAGCGGCATCGGACTAACTCACATGCGCTTTCTCCATCCAAACTCCCGTGTCTGGTGTGCTGAAATGCCGCTTCCCATCGCCATCCTCCTCGTCTGTCCGAGGCTCTGTCACGAAACCGTCCGTGTGTATGAAGGTCCGCACCAGCTTCTGCACCAACTGTCAGGGGTTACATGGCAACCATACACTCGTTTTCATCGCAATGCACGCTGCTCAGCCATGGGGACTGTCGCTGATACAACAACTGCAGCCAGACACCCGCTCACCATCTCAGCCATCCCAGTCTCGCCATCTTTCCCCCAGGACCGTAACACTTTATCTCCGTTTTCAACCATGGCACGAGGTTGGGAGGCGCCATTGCTTTACCAAACCGCCGCACGTGCACGTAGTTTAGCCATCTCCTGACGTCCCTCACCGAGAACCTTGGACTGCTGAAAATGGTCAGAAGCCGGTTCACCACTCTCGTAGAGAGGTCCGCGTCCCGGAAGAAAATGTACATCTCTGTCTGCGTGTCAAACCCTTCATCGACGCTGCTTACGTCGCTCTCAGCGTCTTCTTCCACCGATTCGGATGCTACTCGCCGCTCTTCCTCCTCGTGATGCTCTTCCCCTCCTTGGCTCGCATCCGCGACAATGTCGGTTTGTCGGCTCCGAACCGGGGATGGCGCGGGAGCGCCGCGCATGGTGCGCATAGCCTCTCGGTATGCCTCCACAAGACGCTCCGCCCTTGCTTGGTGTATTTTTCGTCGGCATTGCTTGTTGCCGGCTAGGTGTGACTGCAGCGTGTTGTCGTCAACGTGTTCTACGCCGCAGGCGTCGCACGCGTTGCCTAACATAGCTGCAGGAGAGGGTGAAACCCTAATTTGTTTGTTCCTCCCCGCATTGTTATGCATCACGTAGCGTACAGATCAGCCATCATTACGTCATGCCACTCCGCGGAGTCAACCCTGCCACATAAGCCCCAACATGTGTTCGTCCCATGTCTCCGCACGAGGTGAACCAGCCATCCCACGTAGCACCTCAACACGCAAGTGAGCGGCGACACCAGTTCGAGATGCGATCGCTTATGTAACATTGTAACGCCACATTCGTTCACAACTGCGACACTGGTTGGTGTCATCTTTCAACCCATTGTGCGTGAAGGTTGGGGCTCCACAGTGTGCATTGGTGCGCGAATACATACGCGTTTCCATCAAACCCATTAGTGTTGCAGCATACAAAGTTTCCCTTAAAATCGGAGGGCCAAGAAGGCCCAAATTGCCTCAACCTTACTAACCTTGGTTGAGTTTGGCCCTCGCACCCAAAATCTTGGCCAATTGTGTTGCTCGCTCCAACCAAGCTTCTTAAGGTTGAAGTTCTTGGCCCACGGGTTTTAAATTGCATCATTCGTAGCAAAACGCGTAACACATTCCTACACTTCACGCAGAACATCAACGTCATACATCTGGGTGATAGCAAAACCACTTGCAATCCCCTCACTACTACATTAACAACTGCCATCCTATGTCTCTTCACACGCTTCCTTACATCCTTAACCACCCGCAGAAACCATCTAGCGTAGACCTCTTGAAGAATGCGCAGGCTGCGCTCGGACGAGGTCAGTGACGTTCCATGCCTCCGGCCCCTTTGCACGCGTCCTCTCATGTGCCGCACGATGCAATGCATTGCACGTCGGCCAGCTGGGAAAACTACTACTGCTGCCATGGAGTCCGGATTGAACGTCAAAGTACACATCGCTCAACGAGAAGCGGGGGTTCCTTATCATGCCCACCAACCTATCGGCGTCGCGACAGCGCAATCCATGGGTGGAGAATAGACGCAACAGCCTCTGTATGTCATCACGAGGTGTAGAGGCCTCGTCGCGTTGCACCGTATCGTCGTCTGAGCGAAATACATCCATTTGCCGGCCTGTGCTGCGGCTCGCATGTTCTCGCATGCGAACCCAGCGCGTCACATTTGGAGGTGGCAGACGCTTGGCCATACAGCGTGCGTTATACATCCTGTGTGCCCGCATCGCGGACCGGCCTACGAACCACCTTCCGCACACTTTGCAATCATGCGCTGCTCTTTCCTTGTCTACCATTCCAGGTGACTGGCATCATGACCCCTAGTCTCCAATGTCCATACGGGTAATCAGTGCTGCGCAGCGAACCTAGGGTTTAACCAGAAGCTGGACACGGCAGAAATGGATAATAACCTTGAAGGGCACCACAATAGATTTGGCCGCCGTCGATCTAGGGTTTCGGAGCTCTGATGCCCTCGACCAGTGTTGAAGCCCTGGCGTACCCGTTATACATAACCGCACTGCAAAATCTTCACAAAGAATTCGAAGTGTACTACGGGTTTCACATTACATACCACTCGC